AAAAATTCTGTCATTATTTACTCACTCTAATGTTGTTCCAAACCTGTATTAATTTCTTTCTTCTGTTGAAAATAAAAGTTATTTGGAAGAATGTGGCTAACCAAACAGTTGCTGGTCCCCATTGACTTCCATAGTAGGAAAACAACAAAACACAAAGAGGAAATCACTCACTGCTCTTGACTGAGAACTTTAGTAGTAGCTTTAATAATAGGCCTAATCAATGTATAATTTATACAGTGAAGTCTATGTTGTGTTTTATTTTTGTATTTGTTCATTTAGCCTAATTACTTTCTTCAATGCTACTGTTAAATACCCCTACTGTAGCTGAAAAAATAAAGCACTGTTTATTTCATTTGTATATTAAGTTGTGTATGCTTAATGTGTATCTTTGTTCCTAATTCTTAATAACAAAGAAAATAATGATAAAGATTTTTATCTTCGCCACTTTGGCCTAAATGTCTGCCATTCTTTTTTCTTTTGTTACCTATAAGGCTTTTTTTTTTAATAGGGACATTAGTTTGGCTGTAATGCTCAGTCACTTGCAAAATAGTAAAACCAACATGAAAAAGAATCGTGATAAAATCGTTAATCGTGATTTTCCTGAAAAAAATCGTGATATGATATTTTTGCCATATCACCCACCCCTAGGTGGGATCTCACTCACAGAATGTACACATAGTGTCAGACATCTTTTTTTGGAAGCTAAGCTAGCAGGCTCTTGTTCTGTGGGGAAAGCTGAGTAACTTAGTAGGAGAAAGCTGAGTAGTAGGGGTTACCATTCATCCTCTTTTTCCCAGGCATGTCCGGCCGTCGAGATCGTACAAAATGTCCGGGATTCAGCTTTTGCTTCAAAACACATCTGTTTAGCTATGCATTTACTGAATGAGCACTGTGCCACTGTTCGTCCAACTGTTTTTACTGTACTGTTTTTGTCTTTGTTTGTTTTTTAATTTTTAATTTATTTTTAATTTATTTTTTTATAATCTCTGGAAGAGATTTTGAAGGAGAGCGGGAGAGTCTTCACTCCGATGAGGCGAGTGAAGGAGTAAGTTAGTTATACTGCTGAGAGTATAAGAAGTTGCTGAGAGCGTAACGGCAGCAGACAGCGCACGCGAAGCATGCTCTGTGGGGGCCCTGCTGGGCATTACTGGTGTAGCACCACCCCAGCAGAGTACGTCCCTGGGCTAGAGGTCCAGTGGCACCGTAAACCGGCTCAATCTCTTCCATCTCAGATAGGGGTGGACCAGTATTACTTTATTTTATTTTTTAAACTAAACTGTTTTAATTATTTTTATTTGTTTTGATTATTTTAATTTCTTCTATGTAAAGCACATTGAATTGCCATTGTGTATGAAATGTGCTATATAAATAAACTTGCCTTGCCTTGCCTTTTGCTTTCTGCAGTCGCCATTCATTGTTTACATGCACACCTTTTGTTTCAGTCTAACTGAATTCATTCCGATTGGTGAATCTGAATGTAGTGTTTAGATGAACGCTAAACAAGTGATCGGTTGATGTGCGTTTTAACATTGCTTAGAAAATTCCCGCTCCTCCGTGAGAGATACGAGACCGATGCATCTCACAGGTGTCGCTCATCAGTAATCACGCCACCGGCCTCGCGCCATTCTCCCGCGGCCCTCAGTCTCGTCCTGCTCGCCACAGTAAACATAATGAATGGCGACTGTAGAACGCAAAAGCCGAATCCCGGACATTTTGGGCGATCTCGAAATCCCGGGCAGACTCATCACGGAGACTCACAGCCTAGACTTGTTGTTTAACTACTGTGCTCTGTTACCGGTAGGCGTGGCCTCCTAGGGCAGCAAAGCAAGTGCATTCTGGGAGTTGTTGTCTTTCATCCACATAAGCCAAAAATACATTTTCTGGCTTTTCTCAGTCTAGAAAGCTCCAAATTCAAAAATAATTTCACATTTCTTCTACATAAATGACCCATTTTAAATACACATTCATCTTTCCAGAGGTGAAGTATCCCTTTAACTTGTATGCGCATGATGCACAGTGGCCGTGCTAACGGTTTATCAGAGCTGCACGCTTTCATTGACTTGCACAGTTTAACTAGAAAAAAAGTTTGATGAGACAAACTTTAAGTTGGCTTGAGAAAGCCGGACCAGAGAGTTTGAAGAAGTTTAAAGTAGTTTGAAGTCGGATAGATTGATTAGTTAGAAAAGAAAAGAAAGATTAGTTAGACAGAAGGATTGGTTTCACTGAAAGAAAGATTAGTTAGAAAGAAAGAAAGATTAGTTAGAAAGAAAGAAAGAAAGATTAGTTAGAAAGAAAGAAAGAAAGATTAGTTTAAAAAAGAGATAAAGAAAGAAAGAAAGAAAGAAAGAAAGAAGAAATGTTAGTTAGAAAGAAAGAAAGAAAGAAAGAAGAAAGATTAGCTAGAAAGAAAGAAAGAAAGAAAGATTAGTTAGAAAGAAAGAAAGAAAGATTAGTTAGAAAGAAAGAAAGAAAGAAAGAAAGAAAGAAAGAAGAAAGATTA